CACCTCAACGCCCACGCCTTGTACTTGACCAAAGAAGAGGCCAAGATACAACCATAGTTGACGTCGTCACCAAGTTCATCCTCCATCGGCTCATCATTCTCTTCACGATCACAAACCACTTTCTTAACTCCTTGGAAGAGAAAGCACAACTCATTCTTGGTAACCGTTGGAGCCACGGATCTCCCACTGAAAGTGTTGGCTAGGAGCTTGAGGGCGTATCTCAGCACAGGGTTGCAAACTTTCTTGATCTTTGCGGTGTTGGCTTTGTAGTCGTCATCGCTGATCACGTCCCAAAGATCGTTGGCGGATTTGAGCTGAGGGAACTCCACTTGTTTGGCCGCAGCATTAAGACCGTAGGCTTGGCATAACTCGGTGATGGAGAGGTGGTAAGCTTGCCTCCTGATCTTGAACGTGAGGTGACCTTTGGAGGGAGCTTGAGGGCTTGGATCTTCATAAGAGAAGTCCAAGGTTGAGAGGAAGTCCAGCGTTGCCTCGGGGTAAGTAGGGCAGTCCATCCTTGACAGGTAAGCAAGCCCCATGTCCTTGAGCAGCTTGTCAAAATCTTTCAAAAAGCCTAGCTTTTCCAAGAGGTCCCTTCTTGCAAACTTGGTGGGTTCAAACCGGAGCCTTTCTAGCCTTTTCTTTGCCTTCTTCTCCTCCTTGCTCCATCTAACCCTCTCTTCCACCACTTGTTGAGTATCCTCTTGAGTTGCCACATCTCTACTTCTTTTCTTTGGGAGCCATTGGTACCTGAAACACAAGTTCTCAAAGAGAAGAATGAGTATAGGTGGCGAATTAAAGAGAAAGATAAGGAAAGAGAGAAAAACTCTTAACATAAATCCTAGAATTTTGGGGATTTTCTAAAAGTTATCAATAAATAGAAGATGAAAATCTCTTTAGATAAGATCAAATCAAGAAATTTTCCCTAATATTTAGATACTCATAAAAATTCATCATAATCCCTAGCGAATAACACTAAACCAATTCAAAGAAAAGGAAATTTTCTAAAAACTCAAACATGAGATTCAAGAAACTTCGAAATACCTTTGAAATGATGAATGTTAGATGCTTTTAGCCTTAAAAACTGAACTCACACTCCCTCTTTTCTAAAGAAAACAGTTTTGAAATGCAATGGAGAGAGTGTGTGCACAAGTGTTTATAACGACCAAGAATCTATGGATGCATGCAAGTGGTTTCTGAAAAAGTATGGTCAATGCACACATCTTTATGGTCAAAGATGCTTACCTTGACCAAGATTCAAATTTAAAATGGGAGGGAAAGAGAAAAGAGGGGGAAAACTTGAACTGACCTCGGCATGAGATCGAGTCAAATTGGTCGATCTTGACCTCGATCTCGTGCCTATGTTGCCTGTGATCGAGAGGGTTGGTCGATTGGGGGCTCGATTTGATTTGAATCGAGCCTTAGATCGAGTGTGCCCCCTCGTTCCAAGATCCTACGTGATTATGGCCATGCTCCTTGGATCGAGTTTCTTGATCGATTTCGAGGTCGTGTTGGCAAGGATCGAGTGAGCGGATCGAGTGAACTGATCGATCCGGTTCGAGGATCAAGTGAGACTAGTCGATCCACACCCCGTTTGCATTTCAAGCTAAACACGTGGGTGGGTCATCCTCTCACAATCGACTGACTCACTCGATTGTCTACTCGATCTCATATAGATCGAGTGACTTCACTCGATTCACTAGCTCGATCTAGTAAAGATCGAGCCAGGATAGGTCGATCTATCACTCGATCGCTTGCCTCTACTTCTCCTTTTCTTGCCTTTTTGACTCCAAGATTATGACCTCCGGTTCCCATATCCTTTCACCTACACACTTAAACTAAAAAGCATAAAATTGAAACAGAAAGAAAGCAGAATTATGTACAAAGATGGTCATGGGAATGCCTCTCAAGTGCGCTTGTTTTACGTCCCTTAGCTTGACTTTACTTGGTTTAGGATAGAAGTGGGTCTTGGAGAAGCAACGTGGTGCTCTCCTTGCTGCATTCACTCGCCATGTAGGGCTTGACTCTATGCCCATTCACCATGAAGCTCTCTCCACTCTTGCCAACCAAAGTAACCACCCCATACGGTAGCACTTTTCTTATAAAAAACGGACCGCTCCACCTAGACTTGAGCTTTCCAGGGAAAAACTTCAACCTTGAGTTGTAGAGCAGGACCAGACTGCCTTCCTTGAGCTCCTTAAGCACCAGCTTCTTGTCATGAACCGCCTTGGTCCTCTCCTTGTAGATCTTGGCGCTTTCATAAGCATCCAACCTTAGTTCATCCAGCTCGTGGATTTGCACCATTCTTCTTTCCTGTGTCGTCTTGAGATTGAAGTTCACTTGCTTCACGGCCCAAAGAGCCTTGTGCTCTAACTCAACAGGGAGGTGACAAGACTTGGCATAAAGGAGGTTGAAAGGAGTAGTACCAATGGGAGTCTTGAAAGCTGTTCTATACGCATATAGAGCTTCATCAAGCTTGCTTGCCCAATCCTTTCTAGTTACCCCTGCGGTTCTCTCTAGAATAGCTTTGATTTGCCTGTTTGACACCTCCACTTGGCCGCTGGTTTGAGGGTGATAGGGCGTAGCTACCTTGTGCTTAACCCCATACTTCTTCAAAAGACCCTCAAAGACCTTGTTGATGAAGTGGCTGCCCCCATCGCTGATCACTACCTTTGGAACTCCAAACCTTGGAAAGATGATAGTCTTGAAAAGTTTGATCACCACCTTTGCATCATTAGCTGGGGAAGCTATAGCCTCTACTCACTTAGACACATAGTCTACAGCCACCAGGATATACTTGTTGCCGTATGAAGATGGTAATGGACCCATGAAATCAATCCCCCAAGCATCAAAGACCTCCACTTCAAAGATGGGTACCTGCGGCATCTCATTCCTCCTTGTGATGTTCCCAGCTCTTTGGCATGCTTCACACAACTTAACAAACTCATGAGCATCCTTGAAGAGTGTTGGCCACCAAAACCCGGCTTGTAGAACCTTTGTAGCTGTCTTGAACGATACGAAGTGCCCTCCATAAGACAAACCGTGGCAATGGAGAAGAATGTCTCTTGCCTCTTCTCTTGTGACACACCTTCTGTATAGGCTGTCCACACCCCTCTTGTACAGATAAGGGTCATCCCAAAAGTAATGAGAGATGTCCCTCATGAACTTCTTCTTGTGGTAGTGGTCTAGGGGAGTAGGCTCTTCTCCACAAGCCAAGTAGTTGACAATGTATGCATAACAAGGTAGGTCTTCTTCCTTGAAGCTCAAGACTTCTTCAAAATTTTCCTCCAGCATTGCACATACTACGGTGTTAACCATCATGAGCTGCTCCTCAGAGAGTGAGTCATCCAAAGGCAAGACTTCATTCGCCCTCATTTTTGAAAGATGATCAGCAACACCATTCTCTATACCTTTTTTATCCTTGATCTCCATATCAAACTCTTGCAAGAGAAAGATCCACCTTAGGAGTCTCGGCTTGGTGTCCTTCTTGGAGTATATGTACCTCAAAACAGCATGGTCAGTGTACACTATGACCTTAGAACCCACCAAATAGGACCTGAACTTTTCAAAAGCAAAGACCACGGCTAAGAGCTGGTTGATTCTACTTGGCTTCATTCCTTATTTATTCTTCACGATATCTACTAGTACTATGTTTGTTGGTAAACTGATGTAGGTATTATTTTGAACTAGAATTGCACATATAACCATGCAGGTCTGAATTCTACGTTTCCAAGACAAGGTCCATGTACGCCTCATGTTTGCTTTCCTCGTAGAAAGTTGGACCTATTGAACCCATTTGCTAATCAATATGCTAAGATTTCTCTTTAGAATAAACTTTACCATAGCAAACGCAAACAGCTGTTTTTACTCATCGGACTAACAACTTTACTAAACCAAATGAGCAAAGTGATTGAGTTGATGATTAGTTAGGAAGCGATTAGTAAACCCACCTAAAATTCTAAACCTAGGACAATCAGGTTATGAACCCTACTACGAACTTTGGAGGTCCAGATCACACATAGCAATGATTGATATTCATTTCCATACATCTAACATTAATAGTCTATACTTGGGTTTTGATTTAGACCTGTTCGTTTCTACTGTTGTATGGTTATGTTTATTTTTCTCTCAAACAGAAAAAGATGTGCACTATCATTTCAAGTTGCTATCAAACAGGTTAATATCCTTTTTTATTGAAAAAAAAAAATTAAAAGTTCCAATAACCATCAATTTTGTTGCATATTTGATGTGTTTTTTTTTTTTTTTTTTTTTTTGCGAGAACTCTATTAATAGAAAACCACACAATCAGCAGAGAATAATCAAAATATGGTTTATACTAATTGAGGTTCCAATCCACGACGTATGTGTTTCACTTTGACTTAAGATATTATGCATGTCATGTTTATAGTTAAGTTCAGGGCTACAGGCTACAGCATGTACATGCTCTTTTCGGATTGGTAGGTCTTATTAAATTACTATTCTTTGGGGTCGGGTTGCTCTACAATTTTATTATTATAATTGCAAACTTATGAATGTCTGTCACGTACTTCTTTTAGATTTGGTATTATACTCTTATATTTATAAAAAAATTAAAACAGTAAGATAAAGAAGAAGTCAGGTCTTTTATATATAGTAGTATAATTAACCTGTATATAGCCAACAACAAAAGTATAACTTTTATATATACGGTTACGTTATTATTCAATTGACACTAAATCAACAGAGAGATCAAAATGTTTTGGCTTAAATTACGTTTCCAATTTTAATTTACTTGCTTTAAGATGTTTCCACCCCGGGCTATGAAATGTTACCCCATGGTTTAGCGCATACTTGTTCGCAGAAAACCTTACATAATCAATGTTTAAGAATTGTTATACTAGGCTTAATCAATAGAACATTAATAGTATATTTATTTTGTAAAGCTTCACATTGATATATATTGTGGGTCCGTAACATAAATATAGCAATACAAATACACCATTTCTTTAGTAGTTTAACACCTTACACACTTTAGCATATACTATTTGAAAACCTCTCGGGTCGAGAAAAAGGCAGCTAATAACTGTGATTCCAACTCACCAAGGTTTTATATTTCTGCTTATACTATACTATTTCAAACTATGTATATCAGAAGAAAATAGATATAGGAACACTCCGAGTTCTTTTATAAGACTTTTTCAAGCAGCAGAAGGTGCAGGATAGTAGGTAAATTCCGGTTCGAGTACCGAAGCTAGGATGGTCGATTTGGTTACGGTTTCCTCCACATCTTGAGGGCTTTTGGGTTTGAAATCGAGTGATTCATCATTATATACATCCCACCATTTATCAACTAACATCTTGATGTCTTCTCTGTCCATGTTAGCTTCTTCTCCTGTGTACCTCCATGGCTTGGATCCCTATCATGTTCACAATCAACATGAAAAGGGAGTTAAATTTCAAGAAAACAAGCTAAACCGGCTCCGGTTTGTGAGCAAAGAGAGAAGAACTACTACTTACGGCTGCACAGTAGTGAACAACCTTGACTCTCTCCAGCTCCACGTTCTCAGGGTGACGCCAAAGCATAGCAAGAACCAGATTGTGAACTAGAGGGATCGGTTTGTACACTTTCTCAAAGAACATATTGAGAAAATCCTGCCACAAATACCAAATTCATCATCAAAACCAGTTCTTGATTCGATTTGAAGCATTGCAAACCCGGATATAACTCACTTGTTCTGCAAATGGTGAAGGCGGTGTGATCTCCAGGGTCTGAAGAAGGCTCTCATAAGTCAAAGGGCTAGGCTCAAACACAAACATACCGGCGTTGAAATACAGAGGAGGAGGAGGAGAATCCATATCCTCCGGCCACGTGACCTTCTCCGGGCACTGTTGACAATACCCAATCGAATACTGAAGCGAGTGGCTCCACGTTTTCTCACAGAAACAATCCATCACGGCATAAAAATACCCGTCAGGCATATCGAAGAGGTCATCGATATTCTCAAAGACTTGAATATCTGCATCTAGGTAAATCATCTTGCTGTATTCTTCAAACTATAGGAAGAATAAGTATTGTTTCTTTTTACTTAATTTATTTGTTAATAAACTAAACAATTTCTATAACTAACAAATTCTAGAAGTGTTAGAAGAAGCATTATACTTGTCAAATGCCAAAGTGAAGTTAGAAAGGACATTAAATCTAAATTAAAAAATTTCATGAAACTAAAATTAACTTCTCCAGTGATTTCATGAAACTAAAAGCCTAACTTAGAATTTGATTCAACAAGCAACACATAACGTGAAGGTGAAGCCAATAGCTTAAAGTCACCACGAAAAAAAAAAACCATGCGAAAAGGAAAATAACATAAAACAGCCGATAAAATCCGAAATTCGAAACACAAATGGCCCAAACCCAATGATAAAATCCGAAAATAAAGAAAAAAAAAACACATGAGGCCTAAGCCCAACCCCAAATAAAATTCCACCGGAGAAGTTGACCCCGACTTTCACCCTAGCGAGAAATCTGAAATCGATCAACGATCTCCATACCCAGAATTCTGATCAACAATGGCGGCAACAGCGTCCTTCGACTCCTTCAGAAGCTTGATACTGTTCTTCAGCTTCTCCCTCTTATTCGCCACCGACGGCGACTCCTCAAGCATCCTCTCAATTCCTCCGCCGCTGGGATCCACCATCTCCGCCACGATCTCCTTCTGAAACTGACTGTTCACGAGGTACTTCACAGACAGCTGAAGATACAGCGCAAGGTTATCAACAATCCTTTTCAGGACGATGGTCCAGTAGGAAGTGATCCTCATCTTCATGTCGAACGCCTGCTGCAGCAAATGGGCGTGATACTTCCTCAGATGCGAAATCTTCACATTCCCGAACCCAGACAAAGAGAAGCTCTCAGGTTTTTGCCCATCGCTCAAAACAGCATATATGAAGCTTTGTTGTGCTTTCGTCTTCTCCGTCCAGGACGTCATGTAATCAGGGTTACATGTGTAATCGGTAAGCTTCTCCATCTCAACGATCTGAATGACCCGATCAACAGATTGCTCCTTAAGTTTGCCGATAAGATTTCGACCGGCTCGTTTGATGGAAGATTGAATCTGTGGGAAGTTTTCAGAGTGTTTGATGATCACTGATGAGAGAACAACTTCGATGTAGCCCCAAATCTTCTTGATGAACTCAACCGGTTTAGCTTGTATGTCATCCACATATTGCGAAAGAATAGGCAAGAATGCTGATCTCGGAATGAAATTAGGCAATCCAACACATCTGCATTCCTCAAGAACTTTGATTTCATCCATCAAGAACTCGGTAACTTCCTTTGGCTTTGCTTGTAGATCATCTGAGAATTCGCTTAACATATCAGCCAAACGAGCAGTACAGTGCATGTTTCGATCAAGTGGATACTCTGAGAAATCTCCTTGGACAAAGATTCTTAGGAGAGATTCCTTTGCAGAGCCAATGATGTCCATTAACGCCATGAGTGCTTCCGCTGTAGAAGCCATCACCATTGGCAGCTTGTTCAGCTCGTGGTTCGCGGTTTCCATCTTCTTATGGATCTTGCGTACGATTTCTGGTAAACATCGGGAGATCATCGTTGCCTGGATAAGCGTTAGCTTCTGAGCTAACACAGGGATGCCCACAATGTCGGCATCTATTAAACTTAGCATTGGATGAGTCTTGAAAAGTAACTCTTCTTTCCTTTTAGCTTCTTCATACGTCTCTTCTCCTATGCGGTTCCTCACGCATACGTAGCCAAGGCCGATACTCACATCATCCGCTGTTACTTTCTGCAGGAGACCTTCAGGAGCCATGTCGGCTTTTGTGACAACAGCAAGAGTTCGTTCCCCTGTTTTGTCAACTTGTCTAGACATACGAATGGACTCACAGGTCGTGAAATCTACTGTGGCTGACAGAACGTTGAGGATGATGGACTCTTGAGGCTCAATGTACTTCATGATCATCCCGGAGATCTGCTCATAGATATTTTCCGGCTGTCCGTTCACCGGAACTCGAGTTATTCCAGGGAGATCAACCATGGTCAGATCAGGAACACCAGCTTTCTTCACGTGGAGGTTCAAGGGAGCGTCTGAGACCCCTTTACCGGATCCTGCAGCATAGGTACATTATATTATAAGTACTTATCATAGTCAAATCTGATTGGCATCAAAGTTTCATCATATTGCAGAACTAGTCAAATCTGATTGGTATCAAAGTATTCATGAACTAGTTTAGGCAGCATTAAATATATCATATTGAGTAAAGGTAACATTAGAGTTCCAAATTTGATTGGTATATAGCAGAAGTAGTCTAAGACCTGACTAGTATTAACACCCCTAGGCACTTGTATTCAGGAACTTTTATGGTAAGTAGATAACTACTCATTCACTGTAATCTCTCTTGTAGATTCTCCAAAACATTCTTAAGTTTATCATATAGCAAAACTAGTATCAGTATCATTAAAAATATGTATCAGATGAGTAAACATCAAACTAGGAGTTCTAAAATCATACGATACCTCTAAGCACTTGAAGAATACACTTAAACACTGAAAGAGAGATAAAACAGAGACAGAACATACCAGCGATCACATCAGTTGCAGCACATATTGCTTCAGCAATGTGTTCCTCATCCGTAGGAACAACTTTGTCACTGTACTCAAGCCAGATCTCAGGTTCAGGGTTAGAGCTTTGTTGAAGCCTCATCACAAGAGGAACCCTAGTGCAGATACCTTGCCCGCGAGGCAAACTGATTCCTGCCAAGGACTCAAGAACGCTCGACTTCCCTGAGGACTGGTCTCCTACAACAACAATGGTGGGAAGCTGGATCCCTTCTCTCATCACATTGAGGTTCCTTAGCCTGTCCACAGTGTCAAGTAACGGCCTGATCCGATCGTTGTATGAAGACACAATCGGTGCTTCAATGGGAACAACTTTGTTGTCGTGAGGGTTTGCTTCGACTATAGCAACAGAAGAAGAGGTTTTAGAGACAACAGTCTTCTTACTATGTCTCATTTTCGAGCAAGAGTGGAAGAGATAAAAGACAGAGAAGAGAGATTTAAGAATAAGTGTAATTCTTAGAAGTGATATTCTGCCTAGAGATACTTGAAGATTATATGTAGTAGATATTATAAGGGCTTGTGTATGAGTGTCTTAAGCCACAAGTAAACGTTTGAGATGAAATGATGTAGGTAACGTACATGTGGTAAATGAAAAAAAAAAGGCTAATTAATTCCATAATTACACCTATAATAGCTCAACGTTGAAGCTAGAAAGCCTCTCTCTCAAGTCACTTATTGTATCAATATTTTATTGGCTCCCTTTGGTGGTGGCGTTGTAGGTATTTTCAGATAGACGTTTGGAGTTATAACAACAGAAGGAAGCTCATAGATCACGTTTTTAGTTTATAGGTCTAAAATTTTTATATCAATTTGATACGTATGAGGCTTAACCATCCACCGATTGTGTACCAATACAAGAAGCGTAACAGAGCCCAAAAGGCCTGAACAGAATCATTAAGATGAAGTTGGCTCATTCCGTGACGAGTTCGTGGGCTCAGCAAGGAGTGTTAGAGATTTAATTAAGAAACTAACAAATGCTATAAAGGGGGTTTCAAAAAAACTGAAACTAGCAAGAATGTACCCAAAAAAAAGTGAGTCCATCGTTTATTTCGATTGTTATATTCTCATTTTACTGGATGTCTTCGGTTTATTGTCAGAAATTTTGACTGCCCTCCATTTATTCTATTTGTCTAATTCATCTATTCAGTATTTCTTTCGTTCGGAGCCAACGTATATTTACATCCCTTTTATCAAATTCTAAGATTTTCAACTAAAGTTAAAAAGATTTTATTTTATAGAGTATTTTATTTTTATTTTGTTCAAACATAAAAATAAACTTAGAAATACTCCTTCATTCTAGCATCTTCATGTCACTAATCTTTTGAGTTTGACTAGTTAACTCCTTCAGTGCCTTAATTTCTCATGAAACAAAGACAGTCTTAAACTTGAAATTTCAAACAACAACTAGCACATAACGTGAAGCCAATAATGTCACCACGAAAAAAACGACCAAAACAGAATAAACGTAAGATAGCCGCTAAAATCCGAAATTCAAAAAACAAAAGGCCCAAGCCCAACTCCAATAAAAAGCCACCGGAGAACCTGAATCAATCAACGAACTCCATATCAATCAACCAAAAGCCAGAAGACGAAGCAATATCAATCAATCAACGAACTCCATACCCAGAATTCTGATCAACAATGGCGGCAACAGCCTCCTTCGACTCCTTCAAGAGCTTGACATCCCTGAACCCAAGTTTATAGCCAAAACCCATTCTTTCACTAAAGATATCTAAAATTCCTTAACCTCCAAAAACCCATTTTTAAACCCACTTAATTCAGCCCATTCTCTTTACAAAAAAAACCCTAAACATAACCTTCCCTTCCCCTATATAAGGAGCTCGTGGTGATGGAGATAAGCAGAGAGAAACCACCACGGCGAAGTCTTGCCAAAATCGAGCCTCAGCCAACCACTTTGGAGGAGGAGCAATCAAAAGGCCAAAAGAAACAGCTCCGACCGGTTTTGGTGCAGTAGAGGAAAGGTGGCTCAGATCGGATTTGTTTGGCACAAAACTTTTAGGGTAAGTTCTAGACTCACAGATCTACCTTTAGAAGAAAGCGGTTCATCATTTGGAATTGTATACTGAGAGTTATGCATCTTTTCCCAAGGCTGATGTTTTATAGATCGAATATTTGAGCCACCATCTTTCGAGGCAGATTCCCGTCGAATCCAATCGATCTAGATCACGATCTTGGTATCATTGGAAAGATAATCCTTCTATCCAGCGCCTCTTGAATCGTCCGATTTGAAGGTATATTCTGTGAGTTATCGTCATTTGAATCTGAGCGGATCAATATGTATAAATCGAGAGACCTAACTATTTCTCAGTTTTACATCAGAGATTGCGGGCCGGATTCCCGACGACTCAGATCGATCTAGAAGCTGATCGTGGTACCATTGGAAAGAGGACACTCCGAAGTTTCCACAGAATCAGAGATCGTTCGATTTTCTTCATTATTCGGAGAGTAACAATCGTTTCTTCCCATGCAAGCAGATCTGTTAAATTCTGAGTTTATGAACCCTAGTTGCAGAACTGCATTTTTCTAGAATCTGAGTTGAGTTTTGGGTATGCATTTCCGAACAGATCCGTGTTAGTTTGGTCAAACCGTGGTGGTTCCAGTTAGAGGACGTGTCAGGGAAGCCGCCGGCCCAGTCAGACCTGTCAAAAAGATAAACCCTAGTTTGTACGTCTGTTGCTTGTTGCCCAAGATTCTCCATCTTGTTAACTAGAAAACCCTAATTCTGCAATGACTTGTTGTCCAATTTAACTCAAACCCTAATCCGGAAACCCTAATTTATTTTAGAAATTCCTTAATTTAGAATGTTCTAATTTGGTCAATGTTCCATTTTGGAAAGTTTCTATTTTAGAAAGTTTCTATTTCTGGAAAGTTCCATTTTAGGAAAGTTTCTATTTTAGGAAAGTTTTTATTTTAAGAAAGTTCTAATTCCCGAACATATCTATTGCAGTTTCCTTCCATTAACAGCAGTAACCATTTCTTTTGACTTCCATTTTCAACTGAAAGCAAATGTGAGGATTGTTTATGATTCCTAAAGATGCATTTGTTGGATTAGTAATATTTATATGTTGTTGATATTGATGTTGGTGATTGAGTATTGATGATTGATTATTAATTAAGAGATATAATAGGAATCATTGATAGTAGAGCTGACCGTAGTGTCAGTGTTGTTTGACGGCCTACAACGAGGGACAATTGTGAAGTTGTAGTGATCGAGAAAGGGCTGACGAGCCGTTGTCAAACCCTGTAGTAGGCGGTGGCACTTTGTTATATGTCAAACCCGGAATAGGCGGTGGCAAAGATTGAATACCTTGGACGCTTGATTCTTGGTAATATGTTATAGATTTGATAGGATGTTTGATTTGATTTATATATTTAAATGTTAAAATAATTTGACTTCTATGTGAAATTGCTAGAAGTTCTATGTAGGTTGATTGCTTGTGTTTAATTTCTGTATTTAGTATATTTATATTATTATTTCAAATGGTGTTTTCAAAGGATCTCGCGGATTCTTTAGCGCGCCCCTCACTGAATATTCCTGGAATACTCATCCTTCTTTCCTTTCAGGTGTGTGACTTGAGTTGAAGTCGGAGCAGTGCTGTTTCCGGAAACCATTATAAGGGCGATTTAGTTTATATAAAGTTTCTAAAAAATATTTTTATTTATTTTTATTTTTGAGTTTAAAATTTGGTTTTTATGTTATAATGCTTCGAGTTTTCTGTTAGTTTTTAATAAATAAGTTTTAGTCCTTTAATACATATTTATAAGTTTATTTCTACTTAAAAAAAAATGTTGTTAACACGTGAGAACTACTCTCGGCTGAAATAGCGAGTTTGGGGTCTCTCATTCTCCCTCTTGCTCGCCACCAACGGCGACTCCTCCAGCATCCTCTCATATCCTCCGCCGTCTTTCAAATCCACCATCTCCGCCACGATCTCCTTCTAAAACTGACTGTTGACGAGGTGCTTCACAGATAGTTGAAACGACAGCGCAATGGTGTCCACCATCCTTCTCAGGACGATGCTCCAGTAGGATGTGATCCTCATCTTCATGTCAAACGCTTGCTGCAGCAAATGATCGTGATACTTTCTCAGATGCGAGATCTTCACATTCCCGAATCCAGTCAAATAGAAGCTCTCATATTTGTTCCCATCGTTCAACACAGCATATATGAAGCTTTGCTGTGCACTCGTCTTCTCCGTCCATGACTTCATGTACTCAAGGACTCAAGAACACTCGACTTCCCCGAGGACTGGTCTCCAACCACAACAATGGTGGGAAGCTGGATCCCTTCTTTCATCACGTTCAGGTTCCTCAGCCTGTCCACAGTGTCAAGCAACGGCCTGATCCGATCATTGTAAGAAGACACAATCGGTGCTTCAATGGTTGCAACTTTGTTGTCGGAAGGGTTTGGTTTGACAATAGAAGGAGAAGAAGAGGTTTTGGAGGCAACATGCTCCTTGCTACCTCTCATTTAGAAACGGAGAAGAGATGTTTAAGAATAAGTGAGATTCTGTTTGGGTTTGTGTATGATGAGAGATATAACTATATAAGCAATAAGTAAACGTTTGAGATGAAAGGATTTAGGTAACTTGCATGTTGGAGTTGAAAAAGCTTAACTTGTACGTCCATAGCTCATAGTTAAAGCTAAAAACTAAAAAAGCCTCTCTTAAATTGTATAAAGATTAAGGTAATTAATATGATATAGAAGATGATATTATCAGTATATTAGATTAGGAAATTTAACTTTATCTGAAATATAATAATTTCATATTACTTTTGAAAATTAAATTCTTTTCATCCTGCATTATGTAAACTAGGTGATGACCTGCGTATACACGCAGGTTTATATTTTATTATTTATTTTATATTTAAATTTAGTATACTATTTTCTTTTATATATATTAATAATATAATTTTATATTTGTTAATCTCTATATTATTTAACTTGTAATTTTAAATATTTTATATATATATATAAAAGTTTACATATTAAAGTTTTATATTTATTTATTTTGAATTTATATTATTCTTGAATTTATTTATCTTTTTTTTATTTCTCTTTTTCTCTTCGAATATATTTTTATTTGTTCTCATTCAATCACTCTTTTGTATATATACACATTTAGTTATAGTCGGCTGTGTATCTCAATTTATGTCCTCTCTCCGATATCTCAACACATTAAGCTCTAAACTCTATTATTCAACATGGTTAGTAAATTCATAATTAGATAATTAATTGATGTGTTTTTCAAGGGAAAATTATAATTCCAGTAATATACATTCACAACTTCTATTAGAGTAAATAATATTTGTAAACCAAATTTTATTATATATTAGATGAGTAGTTGTGGATATGTTTATTTTGTGTTTTTTATAATGAGTTCAATTAAGTTTATTTGAATTTATGTCATACCTGATAGTGAATCAAAATCAATAACAATTTCGAGAATAACAAAATCACAAATACTCTCTTAGAGAGTTGATTAAATTGAAAACGTTGACCCTGAGAAAATCAGTAAGTCTGCTTTTTGCTTTGTTTTTTTTCAATTTCTTAAAACATATGAGCAACACAATAATCAACAGTAAACAAATAAAACAGCCTATGAAATGTGACACTGCTGATAATCTAATTTGTGAAAGAACAGTTGAAAAGCTTTATGATTATATATACCAATGGTGAAATGTTTTAAGCTTACATTATATGTTTACATCTTTTTAAAGGAGTGAAAACGTTTCTAAATCATTTTAGAGTAAACCAATGCTCTATTTGTATATAAAAAAACTATTTTGCTTTGGGTCCATTTCAGTAATGAATACACTTTACCAAAATGGAAACATCAAACTTTAGTAATAGAAGATGACCATAATGAATAATCGATGATGAAAGTTTCCTTGCTAGGGATTTCACCATCAGCTTCATCCCAATCACTCGAATCATCCTCTGCATCATCTTTCTCATCCTCGTCATCATCACCATCTTCATCGTTCTCCCATTCAGATCATTGTATGACAGGTTTTTGGAAGGCTGCAAGAAACAATAAGTGAATGAAATGAACACAGCAAAACATGCTTGCTTTGGGAAGTAAAGAGATCATAAAAGCGTATTAGACTGGAAGTTCCCAGTTGAGGAAGCCACCACTTACAAGTTCGTTCTGCATTTTCTCTAATATTTTTTCCAGTTCAGAGATATGATGGCTATGTGCCTGCAATAATCGACAAAGAGAAGTTTCCATAAGCAAGCTGCGACCAAGTTGTGAATACAGAATGCAATTTGTGTGAAGTTTCAGGAATTTCAAACCTCATGGTGTTGCATTGCAATGGAACGCTTTAATGCTTTGCTTTTGTGAGAAAATTTCTTGGTCTCAAGCTAATTGATCTCTGGTAATTCTTTGCACGGTAGTAAATAATGGCAAATTCTTTAGGAAACTTTTCTATTGCCACAAGAACCACACTCCGAGCAAGAAGTGTACAGTAGAAATTGTCTGATGCATTGCTTGGAACAGCCCTGATCATGTACGTTGGATCTAAAAAGCGAGAAACGAGAAATGAGTTTACAAAGAAACAGTAAATCCAAATATTTGAAATTAAAAACGGGGGAGTAAAAGGGTTATCATTTTGTTACCAATGTATTTGAGATTCATCACCATCTGAATCTTCTTAAAATGATCCTATCACCAGAGCGAAAAACGTTAAAAACACTGATGAGTTTTCTGTAATGGCATAAGAGAAAGTTCAAGTCTTGTTTTATATACCTTGATGCTTTGTGATGGCCAGAAGCCGACATCTTTAAGAAGTTTATTACCAGATGCGTCCTTGAGAGTATTAGATTCCATGCTTTTGGACATCAAATCTTGTCCTGCTCCTTCAGCAAGAACAATCATCATGTGACCATGTTCCTTGAGCCGTTTCTCTATGAACTCCAAGAGTCCACCTTCTCCTTCGAGGTTAAATGGTGACTCGGGAATCAAGCAGCAATCAACATCTCTACTTGCTAATGTAGGATACATCGCTATGAATCCTGTAGGAAATCAGGACATAGCCTTTTATGAATAACAGGTTTTTAAGTGTAATGTTTCAAGGAAAAACACAGAGAAAGAGAAAAGCTTACCACTGTAACGACCCATAAGCTTAACAAAACCGATACCATTCTCATTACTCTCTGCTTCAACATGGGCTGCGTTGATTGCTCGTTGAGCTTCCTCCACAGCAGTGTCAAAACCAAAAGATTTGTCTATACAATGTAATACTTGTTTCTGAGCAGCAAAACACCCCCATGTTATAATAATAAAAAAGAAATGAAACTTAGCATGATGTGTACTACTAAAGTCCAATCTTAATTCAAAACTGTAAACTTGACATGATGCATCTTTTGTTACCTTTTTATCTCCTTAGAAAACTTAATTGCAAAATCTCAGAAGAAATTTGGATTGAATCCATCAAGACAAAGCATACACCACTTATACCAATTAGATTTTAGCTAAATCCATTATCATTGTAGGGTTATTTAATTACTTTAAGAGAAGAAGAGAGGACAAACATGGCGATTTATTGAGGGGGAGACTTGGCTCTTCTCTACAAGTATCGACTTTTTCTGAAAATAGGGTGAAAACGAAAACGATTGTACTCGCATCAATGAAGTGAAGGAAAATGTTTCGCCAACGAGATCGCCGGAGTACATGGTTTAAGGAAGAGACTAACCTGTTGAGGGGATTCTTCCGGCGACGCAGAGGAAAGCGTTCTTGTGAGTCTTAGCAATCACCGTTGTTGGCAGCGCAAGGACAATGTTTATCTCAAGTGTTGGGATCGGTGCATGTACCGATGTTGTTACTTCTATCGCCATCTTCAATCACTCTCTTGGGGTGGGCACTTCGGTTTTTGGTTTGGTTTCAGTTCAGTTTATTCGGTTTTATGGTTTATCGGTTTTACGAAAATTCAAACTATATAAAAGTCATATACATTTCGGTTCGGTATGGTTTGGTTTTTTACGGTTCAGTTTGATATGGTTTGGTTTCGGTTTTTTGGAATTATACTATTATGAAAGTTTTTGATTCAAACTAATGGAAATAATAATAATAGATATGAATGAAATAAAACAATAAATCCAAAAAATAGAATCTAAATCATAAAAAATTCATCAATAAGGACAGATTTCAAAACAAAAAAACAAACAAATTATCAAATCTTTCATAATCAATAATTATAAAACAATAAATAAATCTAGATTAAAATTTAATACCTATAACTTTGGAACTAGAACTAGAAGACTTGAATAATGTGAAGAAAAAAGAGAATCACGTTTTTCTTTATTGAAAAATTAAGGTTTACTTTATTATTTATATGTAGATATTTTTTATAAATATTATATTTTAAATTTATGAGTTAAGTTAGTAAATTATAAAGATAACTAAACCAAATAATAAAATATATACCTAAACTAAATTAAGAAACTAGGAAAATATAAATTATTTAAAATTTAGTTTAAAAACTGGAAAAACCTTTTGGTTTGACGGTTTTTAACCAAACCAAACCTAAACCAACACTATAAAAAAATTAATGACCAAATAGATTTTTAGGTTTAACCATAACCAAACCATATCACTTTTTTTGGTTTGGTATGGTTTAGTTTTTTCGGTTATGGTTTTTGTGCCCACCCCTAGTCTTCTCTCTCGTTACATGGAAGAAGGTCTAGCAAAAGAGAAGGGAAACCCAAATCAAAGAGAATAGATAAACCTTAAATCAGGCGTGTAACCTAACTCGGATGAAAATGATCTGAAAACTTTAAATTGTGTGAGAAAACGCTTGGGGGGGGAATCATATTTTTGTTTGACTGAAATAATTTCTTCACGAAAGACTTTTTTTCTTCTTTTTCTTTTATTTGCTGATGTGTCAGAAAGAGAGGTGCTGAGATGTCATCACTTTGTGAGACTCAACCCACTCTTTATATAATAGACTAGGTATATAACTCGCGCTACGCGCGAGTCTGTATTAATAATTTGATTTAATTCTTTTTAGCTACTATTTTTTAAATTATTAAAATTATAATATATTTATAGAAATTTTTATTTATATAAGAGAATTTAATAAATAATGTGTAGTTTTCTCATATTTTTATTTATAAAATTTTGAAAATTATTAGGTAAAATAATAACAATGACACATATCGAATTATCCAATTTTAACGTACATATACATTTAATATAGAGAAAGATTTTCTTGCTAAGATTTTGGTATTTTTTCTTTACCAGAGAATTTATATAATTCTTTTTTCTTAAAGGTTTATGTGTTCAAATATGTAGTTTTTTATTGAAAGTTTTATCGATGTTGTATATCACTGCATATATAATCCATGATTTATGTTGATTCGCATTTAATTTTGTTAGGAAGCTGCAATGATCATGCAAAACCATTTTTTCCTTCTCCACCATGTTTTCTAAGAATTTTAGCTTATATTTTTATTCAATTTTCATTGATATTTATTTTTCTACAGTCTAATATTTTATAATTTAAGTTTTCTAACTCGTAGGATTAGTGGTGTGGAGTCTTTGCATTATTTTCACTGTTTTTATCTTTTGTGTGCAATATGCATGCTTTGATTTGAATATTTTATCTACATATACCAATTTGAGTTTGATTCACAATTATATTATATTTTATTATTTAAATAGAATTTAGAATGTATTATTGATATTGGTTCAGATATAAGTAGTGACTTCCTAAATATGTATAGAAATATTGAGTGTAAAATTATTTATATAGTGTTTTTCTTTGTTAGTTTTTAAATCAGAAACATATGTTTAGTTTAGAAACTCATGTAAACATATTGCAACTTTAGATAGTTCTTCATTGTTGATACTAATACTTTAGAAATCCTGAAATTTTTGAAACTAATTTTAAGTTTAATTTGTTTTTGATATTTTACATCTTTTGATAGTATTTTTTATTTATTTTAATTTATATACTTTTTGATGTTTGATATATTTTTTATTAAGCTATTTTGTTGTTGATTTTCCAAATAGGTATCATAGACATCACATTAATTTCTTTTATACAAATGCTTTTTCTTTGTTAAAATTATTTTTTATATTAATTGTAATTCTAATTATAATGCTGATTTGATATGCTCTAACTATTGAATTTAAATCTTAGAAGGACCTTTCTCAAAAGCTTATAACATCACTTGTTTATTTTAGTTATGTTTTTTTTATATTGATTTTCAAAAACTTTAGCCCAAATTAGTTTTCTTTTTTACGAATTTTTCTTTTGTTAATTTGCCTCTTTTGATAATGATCCCTATTTTATTTTGAAACATAAATTTATAATAAGTTAAAAGCTAAAAAAGCTTTTAACAAAAACATGTTTATTTTCTCATCATATCATAATAGCTTTAAAACAGTTTGGTTTCATATCTAAAAATACAATAGGAAATTTATGGTGAGGTAAACATGTGAGCGTACTTACCATGTCAAATTGTCTGTAATTGCTTCAATATCTTTGTCGAAAAAAAACTGGGTGGAAGAAGCGGAGTTCAAAAATAATACTTCTACATGATGCAATTTAAAGTATGGTGTTAAGAGTTAAATAAATCTTATTATCTAATTTATTTAAGAATTCATCATATTTTCATAAAGAATAGTAAAAAAATGGTGATTATATGTTTGAGATTACAAACCATGAAAAGTTTTCGGGTTCGTAATTGTGGTCAGGAGCACGACAAGTTTGACAACACTTTTCATTAATTTTCTTTGAAAATTGGCGGCAGAGTAACACGAACGAGCCACTATTTAAAAAAAATGTAAAAGAGTGATAAGTAAACATAGATAATAGATTGTATTCCAGTTTAGAATATATAAATAAGTTGTTGGGAAAACATGCTTATCTTTTTAATTGCAAGTGAACATTTATTTTTATTATGACTTACACCATTGGGATATCATTAGCTTAACTTGACAAAGAACGTTCTCGTCGTTGATGATGATCAGTTTTCTAATAGCATATAGACAATATATGACTTTATTATTATATATTTGTATATGTGCAATGTATTTTATGATATTGCTTTTTTGGTTAGTTTGACTATTTTATATTAAATTTCTATTTAATTTTAAGGGATACTATATTTTAGATTTTTAATATAATTTTTTTTTTTATTTGTTACATAAGTTTTTTTATTTATTTTTTCATCTATAAAACAAAATTAATATTTTTTATTTTTTGTCAATTAATTTAGAAGTTAAAATTTTCCTAATCTATATTATAAGTTTGAGCTTTTATAATATTAGTTTTTTGTTAGTTTATCTTTTTTGAAAACAAATTTCCATTTTATTTTTAAAGATACAATTTGTTCAGGTTTTTTAACATAATTTTCTTTTCTATTTTTTATTTAAACCTTTTTAATTGTAAGAATACTAAAAAATACCCTGCTAACAACTACTATGATTTATAATCATAAACAAATTTTCCATTTATAAAACGAATCTAATGTTTTAAATTTTGATGGATGCTATATTTTAATTTTTTAACATAATTTTCTTTCATATTTGTTACTTAAGCTTTTTTTATTTTGATTTTTCCATCTATAAAACGAAATCAATGTTTTTATTTTCTTATCAATTAATTTAGAAGTTAGAATTTTCCTAATCTATATTATAAGTTTGAACTTTTATGCTATTGTTTTGTTTTTGTTATTTTAACTCTTTTGAAAAGAAATTTCTATTTTATTGTTAAAGATACTATTTTTTAAGTTTTTAACATAATTTTCTTTTTTATTTGTTACTTAGCCTTTTTTGTTTAATTTTTCCATCTTTTAAAACAAAATTATGGTTTTAATCATATTTAACATTTTTTATTTAATAAATATGCTGATGTGGACCAATCAGATCGAGTTTTTTAGTCCTATGTGGACGTCCTCAATGCACTATGCTTTCAACTTTTATATATTATACTAGGCTTTTAACTCGCGCTACGCGTGAGTCTGTATTAATAATTTGGTTTAATTTTTTGGCTAATATCTTTTAAATTATCAAAACTATAATATATTTATAAAAATTTTCTTTTATATAAAAAAGTTAGAACATAATATGTAGTATTTCCTATTTTTGTTTATAAAATTATAAATCTTATTAAGTAAAATCATAGTAATGACACCTAACGAATTATCCAACTTCGATGTGCATATGTTTGATTTAGAAAATAATTTTCTTACTAAATTTTTGGTGTTTTGTTTTGTATCCTTAGGATTTCTATGGTTCTTTTTTTTTGTAAAGGTTTATATGTTTAAATATTTTGTTTCTTTACTAAATGTCTCATTAATATTGTGTACATATACATATATAATACATGATATATGTTGATTCAGATTTACTTTTGTTAGTAAGCTACATTAATCGTGTAAATCTGTATTTTGCTTTTCCACCAAATCTTCTACGATTTTTAGGTTATATCTTTATTCAGTTTATAAAATCTGTTTTATTTGCAGTCAACTATTTGCTAATATCTGTTTTTAGACATGTAAGATGATGTTGAGACTTCACATTATCACT